AATGTTAACTCTGTTTTTTCCTTCATAGATGCTGCCAGACCTGCTGAGCTTTTCCAGCAACTTTGTTTTGCAGCCAAGCCTACATTACCCTTTTGAATTGTGACATCACCACCAGAGCTCCGTCTCTGGATTCTGCTCTGTCCTGCTTCTGCCACTACTCTGACTGACTTTGATCCAGGCTTCCCTCTCAAGTATTTATCTGGAATCTCCTGCTGTTTGCTCCCACGTTCCCTTTGCTGTGCTCCTGCTGCCACCGCTCTGACTGCCATGTTCTGTCACGATAGGAAGTTTTCACCTTTAGAGCTAACGTGTTCTTGAAAACATTCAATGTTTTGGCCTCATCTGCTTTCTGTGGCAGAGAATTCCATAGCCTCATCACTCTGACTGAAGGCATGTCTCCTCATCTTGGGCTTGAATGGCTTACCCCATACCCTTAAACTGTGACCCTTGCTTCTGAATGTTGCAGTCATTGGGAACATTCTTCCTGTATTTATCCTGTCTAGCCCTACTAGAATTTTATAGGTTTCGGGGAGATCACCCCTCATTCTTCTAAAAACAAAATGGTCTACTGTTCAAGTGGATGAGGTGTACTTCAGAATTCTGTAAAATTAAAGTACTTTTGTAACATCTCGGAGTAAAAGATGTGCTTAATTGTTAAAGGCCTACTTTGTGAGGACATGTTGACAGTTTTTAACTATTTTCCAGTGACTTTTATGAAAAATCTTGCAGGTTGTCATTAACTTGGGATTGCTGTTTGCTGAGATGGAAGTGCAGGGCCGCGAGGCGCCCTCATTGGCGATGATACTAGTGAACAGTTTCCAACTTCTGTATGTGATGGATGCACTCTGGAATGAGGTATTTCCAATTCTCATTAATCATATTAACTTTTCAAATACTGACTTTCTGCTGCATCTTATGAATAGTGATGGTAGGCAGCAAGAAGCTTAGTGTTTGTGGCCTTTTGGAGGAGAAGACAGCCAAAGTTCTAAATGTGATCATTGATCATTGTTCCAACCACGTTAGATAGAAGTCTGTAGAAGACAGAATGCTAGGATGGCATCAGCATAGTCATAAATCCTTTTCATTCCTGTATTAACTAATGGGCTTTTCATGTCTAATAAAAAGTTGGTTCAGAGGAAGTGGGTGACCATTTGATGGAGTAATTAGTTTCTCATTAAGAATGAGGGAATACTGCATGTATGGATCATAGGTTTTCTTCGGACACTGTGGCTGGATAGATCTTTGAACTATATAAATTGAAGGTTCCTAATTTTATCCCTGATTGTTTGATGTTAGCTGCTATCATTGGAGGTGGTGGTCTAGTGGTATTAGACTATTAATCTGGAGATCCAGGTAATGTCCTGGGGACTTGGGTTCAAATCCTGCCTGAGATGGAATTTGAATTCAATAAAAATCTAGAATTAAGTCTAATGATCACGAAACCATTGCTGATTATTGGGAAAACCACATCTGGTTCACTAATGTCCTTTTTAGGAAGGAAATTGTCATCCTTATCTGGCCTACATGTGACTCCAGACCCACAGCAATATGGTTGACTCTCAACTGCCTGATGGGCAATGGATGTTGGACTAGTCAGAGATGCCCACATCCTGTGAATGAATACAAATAAAAACATAAGATGAGAAGGGCTGCTCCTCAGTGCCTTGGCTTAGGCTAAAAAGAAATTCTACAGTATACCCTCCTTGCAGCTTACTTGTGCCACTTGTAAAATGCGTTTGTCCAGTTGTTGGGTTAAGATAGGACTTTGCTCAGGTAGGATGCTTTTCAAAGGTTTAGTCTGCTGTCAGCACTTGCTGTAAGTTCATGTAGCTTAAACGGCTGCTGAGGCCTGGTACCTCTACTGCTACCTCAGCAAGGAGACATACAAACATATAAATTAAGTGCAGGAGTAGGCCATTCAGCCCCTCAAGTGTGCTCTGTAATTTGATTAGATTTGTTTGTGGCCTCAACTCTACATTCCCATATACTCTCTATAACTCTTGACTCCCTTGTCAATAACAAATCTAGTTAACTTGGTTTAAAAAGTATCATTGACCCAGCCTCCACTGCTGTCTTGGAAGGAGTTTCAGCAATCCTTGGGGGAAAAAAATTCACATGATTATAATCCTAAATAGGAGACCCCTAATGTTTAAACTATAATCCCTTAGTTCTGCTCTCTTGCTCTGTGTGTGTGTGTGTGTGTGTGTGAGTGAGACAGAGAGGAAATGGCCTTCTTGGCTTCCATTTTGTTGCATGTCTCAGATCACTTTTTGCACTTCTAAATGTCAGTGGGTGCAGACTGAACTTGGCCATCAACTTGGAATGGGGACCGTGGTTGAAAATTATGGATCTTGACTGTTTCATCATGGCTTTACTTCAGATTGCAGGATTAATTCATCTCGAGAGTTTCCTGTTCTCACTTTTCTTGTTTTTCAACACAGACAGCAATTCTGACCACCATGGATATTGTGCATGACGGATTTGGATTTATGCTGACGTTTGGAGATCTGGTCTGGGTACCGTTTGTATACAGTCTACAGGCTTTCTACCTGGTTAATCATCCGAATGAACTGAGTTGGCCAGTAGCTCTTGCAATCATTGCACTCAATAGTAAGAGCATTTAAAGAACTTTTCGTCAGTATTTTTTTGCTTTCTAATGACCAAATGCAGATATAGAGCTTTGTTACCACTGTGGAATTGATCATTCCAGCTGTCAGATGTTGTATGGTTGATGATGTTTGTTGTGTTACAGCTGTTGGTTATATCATATTCCGAGGGGCTAACTCGCAAAAGAATGCTTTTAGAAGGAATCCTCATGATCCAAAACTGGCACGTATGTACCAAGGGTCTTTGTGTGTGTGTGTGTGTGTGTGTGTGTGTGTGTGTGTGTGTGTTGTCTGTGTGTGTCAAAGGTGGGCCATTAATTCCATCAATATAAGCCATTGTAAATGAAAATTTATTATTTGTGACAAAAATATTTTACTCGTCATACTTTTAACAAGTCTTTATATTAAATATGTAACAAACTTAAAGCTTTAGTTTAATTTAAGTATTTGTGTGTGATTCCCATGGGTAGTTTTACATGAAAGTAATTCAGTTTGCAGCTTGTATGATCTGTTGCATTTCACGTAATACATTCCTAGGAAGTCATGGACAAATGGCCTATTACTGCTCCCAAATCATAGGTTTCTGGCTTTTTAAGCAGCAATTTATACATAGAAAATCGGAGCGATAGTAGACAATTTGGCTTCTTGAGCCTGCTCCACCTAAATAGGCTGACTAGTCTACTTAGGAACATAGGCGAAGGAATAGGTCGTTCAACCCCTAGAGACTGTTCTGCCATTCAGTGAGATCATGGCTGATCTGTGGTCCAAGTCCATATACCTGCCTTTGGCCCATATCCCTTAATTTCTTTGCTTAACAAAAATTTATCTATCTCAAGTCTAAAAGTAACAACTGGTCCAGCATTGACAGCTGTTTGTGGAAGAGCATTCTGGAAATCTACCATCATTTTTTTATGTGGAAGTGCTTCCTGACATCTCTCCTCTCCTGAACAGTCTGGCCCTAATTCTCAGACTATGCTCCCTAGTTCTAGAATCCATCAACCAGTGGAAAAAGTCTGTCTTTATCTACCCTAACTCTTCCTGTTCATATCTTGAAGATTTCATTCAGATAATCTCTAAACCTTTTAAATTCTAGAGAAAATGGGCCTAATTTGTATAATCTCCCCTCATAACTTAAACCCTGAAGTTCTGGTATCATTCTTGCCACTCTATGGTATACTCCATCCAGGGCTAATATATGTCCTTCGTAATGTATGGTGCCCAGATCTGCTCTCTTTTCTCTAGGTGGGGTCTAACTGGGGTTTTGTATAGCTGCAGCATAACATCGACATTTGTATCTAGTCCACTAGATATAAAGGCCAGCGTTCCATTAGCTGTCTTGATTACTTTCCACACCTGTAACATTTTCAAGATCTGTGCACCTGAACCCCCAACTCTGGACATCCAACATATTTGACTTTATACCATCTAGAAAGTACCTGGATCTATCTTTTTTTTTTTTTGGTTAAGTGAATAGCCTTATACTCTGCTTACATATAGACCTTGCACAATTATAAATGTGTTCTTTGTTATAATTGTTTTTCCTTCAGATTTAAACATTATTCCCACAGCAACTGGGAAGAGCCTGATTGTTTCTGGATGGTGGGGATTTGTCCGTCACCCAAACTACCTGGGTGACTTGATTATGGCTTTGGCTTGGTCTCTGCCCTGTGGTAAGTAGGAAACTGTTACATCAAAGATTTAATTAAGTTGTATTGAGGAACCAAATTGAGAGGTTCATCAATCAAGTTGCTAACCTCCTCCTGAAGTTGCTCAGTCCCTGGTTGGAAATCAAACTAAAGGTTTGAGGGTAGTTAAGTAGAATGCCAGACAATTTGTAAAGCATGTTAGTTGTTCCGATGCTATTTTGTATCATAGAGAGCAACTCACGTGAAACTTTAACATTAATCATTTAAGGTGGTTGGCGCTTTTGGAAAGGAAATGGGAGAAAAACATCGGAAGATCTTTGCCCAGAAGATTAATAAGAGACTTCTGGTCCCATGATCAATTAGGAGGGAAAGAAAAGAATATTTACTGGAAAATGGATTGCGTGATGTCACCATTTATGCTTCGCAGGGTTTGGGACACCAAGCCACCATCTTATTTTCTAATCCATGAAAACATTGCATAGTGTGGAGTTAGCTAGCTGCTACAGTCAGGCTATTCAATCAGGGCCTACAGAAAGGGAAGTCTTAAGGAAAATTTATGCATGATTCTGTTTCCCTGCAGTCATTTCTATCTGGATGTCTTTTTATCTGCGTCTGAGAATTGTTGATAACTACCTGTAATCCAAACTGATAGTTAGGAAAGTGGAGATTTGCTGGTAGCTACCATACTCTACTTGCCCTGTGGTACACATGTTGATGTCTTAAACTCTCAGACAAATGTCTAACACAAACTGTTGTTTTTTGGGTGGTGTAGGGTGCTGATGATCTTACCATTTGACATGCTACTTTGACAGCTTCACAGAAAACTTGAGGACATTTTGGACATTGGAGTGACTTTTAAAATTTCTTAACATAAATATATTTCATGGGATGTCGGTGTAGGGATGCTAGGCCAGTATTTGTTTCCACTTTTGAGTGGTGGTGAGTTGACTTGCTCAGCTGCAGTCCATGTGCTGTAGATTCTTCCACAGTGGTGTTAGGAAATATCAAGCCATGCCATATTCTGAGTAAATAGCAGAGCAGACTCTGGATCTGAATCGCCTACTTCTGCTGCAGCATCTTATGGTCTTTTATGATGGAGGGAAGGTCATTCATGAAGCAGACGAAGATAGTTGGGCCTAGGACACACCTGAGGAGCTGGGATTCTTGTGGAGCAATGCCAAGTGTGTCCTTACCTCCGAGCCAGAAGGCCTGCGTTCAAGTTCCACCTGCTCCAGAGCCATGCAAAAACATCACTGAACATTTTACTTAGAAATATCTATTGAGGTTGGTTGGCTTGCCGAGCTGGTTTGTTGTTCAGCAGACGTTTCATTACCATGCTGTGTAACATCATCAGTGCAGCCTCCAATGAAGCGTCGGTGTGTTTTCCCGCCTGGTTTTTAAACTCTGGAGTCCGTTGAGCTGGATTGCCTCACTTCTGGTTTTCCTTCGTAGTGGAGTGTATATGGGGTCAAGTTCTGTGTTTATTAATGGCTTTCTTCATGGAGTGCCAGGCTTCTAGGAATTCCCGTGCCTGTCTCTGCTTAGCTTGTCCCAAGATTTTGGTGTTGTCCCAGTCAAATTGGTGGTTCTCCTTATCCATGTGGATTGAGATGAGCGAGTATTGGTCGTGTCTTTTTGTAGCCAGTTGGT